TCCTCTCCTTCCTTTTTCTTCTTCCTCCTCCTCCTCTTTTTCCTTCTTCTCCTCTTCTTCTTCTTCTCCTCCCCTCCTCTTCCTTCCTCCTCCTCTTTTTCTTCTCTTCTTCCTCTCTCTTTTTTCTTCTTCTTCCTCCTCTCTTTTTCTTCTTCTTCCTCCTTCTTTTTCTTCTTCCTCTCTCTTTTCTTCTCTTCTCTTCTCTCCTCCTCTTTTCTTCTTCCTCTCTCTTTTTCTTCTTCCTCCTCCTCCTCTTTTTTTTCTTCTCCTCCTCCCCCCCCTTTTTTCTCCTTCTCTTCCTCCTCCTCCCCCTCCTCTTTTTCTTCTTCTCTTCCCTCCTTCTTTTTTCTTCTCCTCCTCCTCCTCTTTTTCTTCTTCTTCCTCTCCTCTTCTTCTTCTTCTTCCTCCTCTCTTTTTCTCTTCCTCCCCCTCCTCCCTTCCCCTTCACACCCCTCCGCAAACCCACCCCCTCCTAATCACCCTCTCATACAAAAAAAAAGGAGAGAGAAAAAAAGCTTGAACGAAAAAACACGTGAAAAAAAAGTCCAAAAGCCAAGCCCTCGCCACGGAGCTGGGCGTCCTGCGCATGTACACACTCAATTTTTTTCCCCCCTTCCTTTCCCGCCCTCGCGCCCGCCCGACGGAGGCTATATAAGCGCGTTCCGTCGCCGAGCCGCCAGGACAGTCGATCTGGACGGGCGACGGAGAGGATGCTTCGTGCGCGCTGTCGTGTTCAAGGAGCGATTGTCGCAAGGGTAGCGTGACGCGACGGAATTTTGCGAAGACGGCGAGACGCGAAGGAAACGCGATAAGAAGGATATTCAAGAAGAACGCGAGGATTAGCGAGATACGGAAGGATACAGGGATAAATATCGTCTTCGGAAGAACAGCCGAGGATTTCAATAAAGCAAAAGGATATCTGAAACATATAGACGAACGAGGAATTTCACGAAGATAAAGACAAAAGGATAATTATAAGAATAACGAGACCAAGAAGAATAAGAATAAGGATAATAAGGAAGATAAACACACACAGGGATAAGATTGTGAAGTGAAGAAAAGTGGATTTTTGGCAAATTCCGAATCGGTGATTTTTGTAGTAAGATATTTTACATTTTTTATTTTCTATTATTTCTCACATTGGTAATTCGTGAGTGAATCAGTGAGAAAATGAGTTTACGGAGAAATGCATTTTACTTTGATTTTATTAAGGAATAATTGTTATACGTCTCTAATTTATTCATTTAATGAGGCTATCTGTTATACGTCTCTAATTTATTTATTAATTTATTCGTTTATTCATCATATCATCATCATATGAATTTAATAATGATAATGATAACGCTTAAAAGAACAATAATAATTATTTTCATCATTATTATTGTTATTATTATCATTATCATCATTATTGCAACGATTATAGCTATGATAATCATTACTATTATTGTTATCATTATCATCATTATTATCATTATTATTATCATTATCCAAGTATTATGTCATCTGGGGAAACCGAGTTATTTTTGGCAACGTGCACGATGTCTTGCGAAAGGAGTGAAAGCGAGAGTGAGCGAAAACAAAGGAACCGAGCAAACCGAACGAGAACCAACGAGCGAGAACGAAACGAGCGAGAACGAACCGACGAGCGAAAGAACGAGAACGAGCGAGAGAATGAGAACTAGCGAGATAAGATGAAAACGAGCGAGATAAAAAAAAACGAGCGAGAACGAGCGAGACCGAACGAAAACGAGCGAGATAGAATGAGAACGAGCGAGAACGAGCGAGAACGGGCGAGAATGACCAGCGACGAGCGGCAGTTAGTGAGAACGAACGAGACTCAGCGAGAATTCGCGAGGATGGTTATGGGTGAACGACAGTGTGAGGAGATGAACGAGAATGAACGAGAACGAGCGAGACTGAACGCGAGAATGAGGAGAGCGTGGTTATGGGAGAGTTATCGAGAGTGAACGAGCGAGAGAAGACGAGAACGAACAATAACGAGCGAAAATAGGTGATATCGGGCGCTACAGAGGACGAGACTTAGGGAGAAGGAGACAGAGAGAAGAGAACGCGAAAGAACGAGAAACAGAGAAGAGAACGAGAAAGAACGAGAACGAAAGGAGAGAACGAGAGAGGCCGAAAACGAAAGAAAACGAGAACGAGAAAAAAAGAAGAGAAAGAGAAAGAACGAGGGACGATAATATCCACCGGAATACGATAATATCCACCGGAATCGTGGACGCGCGAGATCGGGCGAGAACCGGCGCGAAAGAGCGAGAAAGGGGCGGGGCTAAGGACGTGCGAGAGAAGGGTCACCCTCACTACCTTTACGTCATGGCGTATGATCACGTGGGGCGGCTCTCAATAAGCGCCCGCACGCCCGCACGCCCGCGACCGCTCTCCCTGCAGTCGGCACACGCGGTCGGGTCACTCTCACCGTTTTAGTCGGTCGGCGAGAGTGAGAGTCGGGCCGGAAACACCGGATATAGGTCGATGACAG